ACTGCCTCACCTTTCTCCCATCTTTCTCCAGTGGAGTGGCTGATGGTTCAAACCGCTATCCTTTTGGTTAGCAATCTAATACTTTAACCACTTCATCATCAGAGCTCCTTCTATAAGGATGTTGTTGTATGTCAAGTGGGACCTGACTCATAGAGACCCCTCCTTGGGTTTCTGAGGCGGTATCACTACAGAAGTAGATTGCCCAACCTTCCTTCCGAAGAGCGGCTGGTGGGTTTGAACCACCAGCCTTCTGGTTAGCAGTCAAGTGCCTTAGGCACTATGCCACAACCCTATGAGGCAGGTTGCCATGAGTAGCAATTGACTTTATGATAATGGGTTTTTGGTTTATCAGAGTAACAAAAATAGGCAAATGTGGGCCAGAATTAACTCTTTGTACATTCCTGTAAGTACATGATTTAAATAAATAAATAAATAAAAGCAGCATGGGAAAATGAGTGGATAGTCAACCAAAAAATGTGTGATTTCAGTATCCACTGCAGAAAACCTGACAATATGATTAGGAGGAGCAGATCTAATCGTTTATCTTCTTCCACAGGCAAGCCTGTGGAAACGGAGTAAATGATTTATTAATACATTGTCCTTTATGATGCTCTGGTGGCGTAGTGCCTAAGGCACTTGACTGCTAACCAGAAGGCTGGAGATTCAAACCCACCAGCCACTCCTCAGAAGGAAGACTGGGCAGTCTACTTCCATAGAGATACTGCCTTGGAAACCCAAGGAGGGGTCACTATGAGTCGAATCTCGATGGCAGTGAGTTGAGTTTTCAACATTTCGATAGGGTATCAAACCAAAGCAAACTAAAATCACTGCCATGGAGTCAATTCTAAGTCATAGCAACCCCTACTGGGTGTCCAAGACCATAAGTCTTTATAGAAGCAGGCTGCCTCATCTTTCTTCTGTAGAGTGTCAAGTAGGTTCGATATACCGACCTTTTGGTTAGCAGCCAAATGCCTTAACCATTACACCACCACTGTGCTCCTTTTGATAGGGCATACATAGACAGTATAAAATGTTCCACTGTAGTTATGATTTTGTATTGATTGATTCACATCGGACAAAGTACCTGATCAGTTAATCCCTGCCATCACTGGCCCTGGACCAAACAAGACTACTTGTTCCAGTGGCATGTAACCCACACCTTTGTTAGGCTTTACCAAGCTAACCATAGACTTAAAATCCCACAGACAATGTCAAAAACATTATACCTTTATCAATAATTCAGAAATCAGTAATTTCAAAATTCAATTCTTTAGAATTCACAATTTTGCATAAGAATATGAAATCCACAAAAACTACTAATCTTTCAGGGAAATTTTGTTTGAACCTCATGTTTCTACTAGTGTTATCCTGATAATTCATTGAATATTGATCTAACAACATCAGGATGACATGTTTTATGAAGTACTGTAAACCAGTAATATAAAGTATTATATACATCATCTCCTCTTAGCTATAGAACATGCTGTGGAAGGCTGAAGGGCCCCCCCCCACTGAAAACTACAGAACCTTCACAGGCTAGCAGGCATGATTAAAGTGAACATTCATCATAGTGACTAACTTGGTATTCCCCCCCCCCATTATCTTTCTTTTAAGTAAATATAACAGCCAATCTTTTTACAGACACTGAGTTCTTAAGATTTGCTATTTTCAATTATGTATTCTAAGCACAACCCTCTCCCACAACTGGTTTCAGCTAAGAACCGTAGCCTATGAAGCAAGAAGACCCTGGGAAGAGGGATGCTGAGTCTGGAGTAACCAGAGAAAAGAACAAAGGCATTCCTAGCTCTCTAAGGGATTTTCAACCCCCTTCCCATTTCCCTATATAATCATGTGAGACAGACATTTTAGAGAAGTGATTCTGTCTCCCTGTGCATCTATACTCAATAAACTTTTTGCTTTCCCTCTTCAACCTGTTGTGATCGCTGGCCCCTTGCAACAGGAGTTGGTTGTTGTTGTTATTATGTGCCCTGACTCATAGCGACCCCTCCTTGGGTTTCCGAGGCAGTATCACTACGGAAGTAAATTGCCCCATCTTCCTTCTGAGGAGTGGCTGGTGGGTTTGAACCACCAGCCTTCTGGTTAGCAGTCAAGTGCCTTAGGCACTATGCTACCAGAGCTCCTGCAACAGGAGGTAGTGACCTTGTTTTCCTACCACAAGTAGCATATTTTGAACAGTATTCACAATATGACAAAAAAATATCTGAAAGTATAGCCAACCTTCCAACATTGAAATAACCAATTTGAAAATGCTTTCAATTATATATTCTATTTTTATCAGTAAATATAGCGGTTTGAATACACCACTGGCTCTAAGGATAAAAAACCTGGCAATCTGCCCATCAAGATGACAGCCTAGGAAACCCTATGGGGTGGTTATACTCTGTCATTTAGGGCCACTATGAGTCAGAATTGACTGGACAGCACACAATAACTGTATTTTGTTTGTCTAAGTCCAATGGGGGAAAAATGCCAAAGTCTTTTCTAGACTGTGCATAAGAGGAGTTTTTTCTTCGGTAGCTACCTGCACAGCTTAGACAATGTTTTTAACTTCCTAGACTCATTTGTGGCTTAAACCAAAAAACACAAAACATACTGCCATCAATCAAGTTGATTCCAACTCACAGCAATCCTATGGGACATATTAGAACTGTCCCAGGGTTTCCAAGGCTGTAAATCTTTACAGAAGCAGATTACCTCATAATAACCTTTACTTATAAAGCACTCTACACTTTACATACTATTACATAATATTCAAGGAGCTCTGGTAGCATAATGCCTAAGGCACTTGACTGCTAACCAGAAGGCTGGTGGTTCAAACCCACCAGCCACTCCTGGGAAGGAAGGTTGGGCAATCCTACTTCTGTAGTGATACTGCCTCGGAAACCAAAGGAGAGGTCGCTATGAGTCGGGGCTGACTCAACGGCAAATAACAACAACATAATATTCAAGATTGGAAAAAATCCATTAAAATTGGTGTTAAGAAACTTATTTACGTATTCTATGTTTCTCTGAGTCGAGTCCAGCTCGATGGCACATAACAACAATAATACACTAAAAATATGAAAATAATGTGCTCAGCTCCAGGGCTACTCATTTATGCAAAGAGCTGTTCAAGAACAAGAAAAAGCATGTAACACAGGGAATTGCAATTGCCTATCTGCTGATACATTTCTCCAGCGTGAATTTTTTGAGGACAGTATTTTTTCTGTGTAAGAACACGTACACTCTCTCATGGGTTCTGTGTGTTGAATGCTTCATTATATCATAGATTTCTGTCATAAATGCACTGTCTCTCATTACCATGAAAAGAGTAGATGTGGCCATACAGCTAAGAAAAGGTTTTTCTAACCCATATGGTGCTTTGCTTGCTGAAAGTGAGGATGACTTAAGGCACCTACTGATGAAGGTTGAAGAATACAGTCTGCAGTATGGATTACATCTCAACATAAAGAAAACAAAAATCCTCACAACTGGACCAATGAGCAGCATCACAATCAATGGAGAGAAGATTGAGGTTGTCAAGGAATTCACATTGCTTGGTTCTACAATCGATGCCAACGGAAGCAGCAGTCAGGACATTAGACGATGTGTAGCATTGGGAAAGTCAACTGCGAAGGAACTGTTTCAAGTGCTGAGGAGCAAGGATATCTCCTTGAGGACTAAGGTGCGCCTGACACAAGCCATGATATTTCCAATCACCTTGTATGCATGTGAGAGCTGGACAATGAATAGGGAAGACCGAAGAAGAGTTGATGCTTTTGAGTTGTGGTGCTGGTGAAGAATGCTGAAAGTACCATGGACTGCTAAAAGAACTAACAGATCTGTCCTGGAGGAAGTGCAGCCAGAATGCTCCTTGGAAGCAAGAATGGCCAGACTTCGTCTCACCTATTTTGGTCATGTTGTAAGAAGGGACCATTCCCTGGAGAAGGATGTCATGCTTGGTAGGGTGGAGGGTTGACGAAAGAGGGGGAGGCCTTCAACGAGATGGATTGATACAGTGGCTGCGATGATGGGCTCGAGTATAGCAGGGATTGTGGGGCTGGTGCAGGATCGGGCAGTGTTTCGTTCTGCTGTGCATGGGGTCGCTATGAGTCGGAAACGACTCGATGGCACTTAACAACAACAACAACATGGTGCACCAATCCTGTACATGCTTCAGTATCTCCTGGACTGGCTGTAAGTAGGTTCAACATTAGTAAATATTAAAAATTTCACACAGCTCAATAACTCAATAGTGAGGCTTACATACGCATCTGCAATCCCGCCACACTACCACACAATATACCTATAACGCTTTCAGAGGAGAGAGTCCGAAAGTCCAAAGTTGAGGCTAACTTGGCTTCTCTTTCACAATAGCCCTGGGCCTGGTTTGACTTGTTACAGGAAAGATGTATAAAGCTGGCACTTCCTTCAAGGACAGATTGCAACAGGCAGCAGACAACGGCGTGGTCGGTCACACCCAAAAGATAAAGACAAAGAAAGTGTAGCCTCCAGATTAAGCAACAAAGCGGGAACTCGAATCTTGGAGTCATGTTTCTGCCTAAACACGCAGAGCAAAAGAGTCAGTGGCCGGACGTCTTCCGCTCTGTATTTCTCGGTAACAGTCGGTCTCCAAAATGTACATTTTTGCTATTACTGCTTTAGTTTATAGATCCACAAGGCGGCAAGGGGTCACTCTAAGTTTCTTCCGGGTTAGGCCCAGCGGCCGGGAGGAGAATAGCCCAGCCACCGTCACCGCCGCCACCTCCCCGAAATGGCGAGGGCGTCCAGCCAACCCCGCTTATTACTGGGGCAAGTAGGCGCCTGAAGTTCTGTGAGACTAGTAACCCAACCCAGGGGAGGAGCGAGAAAACATTGCCCCAGACCGGGCGGGGTATAAGCTCTTCCTGTGACAGTTTTCCGGCTCTGGGCCCCGGAAGGAGGGCCGCCGGAGCCATAGGCGGAGCCGCCGCCGCTGCCGCGACTCTCAGACTCTGACCATGGCCTCATGCTGGTGGCGGTGGCGGCGCTGCTGCTCTTGGAGGCTGGCCGCGCGGAGACCCGGGCCTGGCTGCCCCGGCCGTGTGGGGTCGTCTGGGACGCTCTCCACAGCGGGCGCCTACACACGGGTGAGGCCGGAAAGCGCGCCCTGAGATCCGGGCGCAGAGGTCACGGTGCCAATGACAGCGGCGCGGCGGAATGAATGGGAACTAGCGAGCTCATGCCGTCGGGTCCCGCGCGTCCAGAAGGCGGGTGGGGGGTATCGGGCCTGTGGGCCGAGGACCACGGGGTTGGCCTTATTTAGGGCACAGGTGTAGCTAGTTGCCCAAGATGGGACAGAGCCGCGTGGTGGGTTGGAGTCGCAGCCAAGCGTTTGCCTGAGGCAGGGAAGCTCCACACGGGGATGCAGAGGAGTGTCCTGAGGAAAGAAGGAGCATTTGGGATTTGAGGAGGAAGTGGTAAGGAGCAACGTACCACAGGAAACGCAGATTGTCTCCTTGGGGTATGGACAGAGGTAAAGCCTGGAAATCATCAGTTACAGCGAGCTTCAGGGGACAGAACTTAACCTGGAACATTACAGGAAGAAGTGCTTCGGGAGTTCAGAGATAGAGAGGACCGAAATGGCCTCAGAATTATCGGAACAGGTCTTGTGGAGAATGCAGGAACTATGCTACAGGTGGACTAGATTTTTCTCGTACATCATTTCCTTAGGAGGGAGAACACACCTGGATGGGAGAGGAAGGGCAGTAGAAGGAGAAAAGATAAAGAGGATGTCGAAAATAGAGAAGCTTGGGGGTAATCTTTAATTTGACCGAAGTCAAATCAGAATTTCAGCAATAACTTTGTCAACTTGATGCTCTTCCCTATTGCCTCCTAGACTTTGGACTCAATCACATTTTTCTCCCTTTGCAATTCATTTAGCACCTGAACATGTTTTTATCGTTTTGAGCTCTGCACTTGGTAACTATTAGTTCTCATTATGCCATGGGGTAGACCCATTATGTTAAGGGTAACTGCACAAGTAACTGCACAGAATCTGTGAACCCACGGGGCTTTTTAGAGACCCTTCCAGTCACATAGTAATAGTATTAGTGTTGGACTTCCATCTGAAAAGCAACCCCCCACCATTTTTTTCTTTTTGGTTCATCTGAATTTAAGACTCCGGTTTCATTCAGATATGGCACATTTCGTAATTCCAAATACCTGTCAGACTTTACCAATATGAAATTATAATATTTTATCACATATGAAAGTTGTCTACATTGTACCATAGTTGATCCATAGTATCTAAAATAGACAACTGGAGAGAGAATGGCAGCGGGCTAGTGGGTAGACTAGATAGTACAGGCATACCTCAGAGATATTGTGGGTACAGTTCCAGCCCACGACAATAAAGGTAATATTGCAGTAAAGCAAGTCATGTGAATTTTTTGCTTTCCCAATGCATATAAAGTTAGGTTTACACTATACTGTAATCTATTAAGTGTGTAATAGCAATATGAAAAAGTTTGAAATATTGTGAGAATTACCAGTGTGACAAGAGACATGAAGTGAGCATATGCTGTTGGATGAATGGCACAAATAGACTTGCTGGACACAGGGTTGCCACAACCTTCAATTTGTAAAAAATGCAGAAGTATGAAGTGCAATAAAATGAGGTAGGCCTTAGATAAGGACGTGGGGAGGAGGTGGGAGGAAAGCTGTGCCATTGGGAGCATTGTAATCAGTGCCTTGAAACAAAATGTGTGTGAACTGTTGAGTGTAAAACTAATCTGCTTTGTAAATTTGCACCCAAATCACAATAAAAATAAAAACGAGGCATGCCAGTGACCTGTTTAGAATATGTGACATTCCTAAAGTTGGGAGAGTATGGAAAATGTATCAGAGGAAGACAGACTTTACTAAGACCCATTTCAATAATGTCCTACATAGGTTTTGAGTATTTCTAGTACCAAAGATGTGGACATTATTTGAGGAGATGGCTGCATCCACCATCTGATGCCACTAGATACTTTCCTTTGACACTCCTTTTCCTGATTGCATGCGCACTGAAGATCTTTCTCAGACACAGAATGAAGTTGATAGTTTCCATGTCTGCCTTGGTGACCACAAGGAGGGATTGCACTGACAACACCAGCACAATGTATTTCTAATTCATGTGTCAGTGATGTTTTTCATTATAAAATAATACAATTAGCATTCTGGTCTCTGTCTGACACATTGTTATTGATTATTCTGAGTCTTTCAGGACCTGATAATCCTTGGGGATGAAAAGCAACAACAGTAAAGCCAGCTCTGGTTTTCTAACCAGTAGGTTTTCAGCTGTGCTGTTTCCTGATTTGTACATTCTTCTGACTTCTCCAGTAATAGTGTAACAAATCTTATAGTAGGGCAGAAACCGTCTGATTTTGCCAGATCACTTGTCAATGCTGCCCTTTTGATTCTCACCCAGCATTTTCTTTTATTTTAAAAAGTGCATCCAAGGGAGGCAAGGTGGACTCTCAGGGAGGATGTGTGATGGAAAGGAAAAGAACATGAGTTCTTGGAAAATTGGTTGTTGCTTCTGCTAATAGTGGCATACCCAAGTGTCACAGCTCTGTTTCCCACAATTTCCTTTTAATATTTTATTGCTCTTCTAAATGCCCCTAAACCCCACTTTGGAAGACATTTCCCTAAGATATGCTTGAAGGATCTCTGGTGGCATAGTGCCCAAGGCCTTTGACTGCTAACCAGAAAGTTGGTGGTTCAAACCACTCAGCCACTCCCCAAAAGGAAGATGGAGCAATCTACGTCCATGAGGATTTACCACCTTAGAAACCCAGTGGGGGCCACTAAGAGAATTGATTCGATGACAGTGAGTTTGGTATTAAGTTTTTAGGTGTACTATGAAGCAGAAAATAGGTTATTCAGTAGATACTGTATTCAATATATATTGAACACTAGGCTCTGGGCTAAGAGCTCTGCTTACACTCTAAATTAACCTCAACATATCTCCATCAGAATGATACTACAAGGTAATATAACTAGATGTTTGGATTTGAACTAAAATCTGCCTTCCTAAGACACCGCTTTTAACTCCTATACTGTCTAGTGGTTAAGAGCACTCCATATTAGCTATGTAATTTTAACCCTTCACTCCAGGTTAGAGAAATATGGAAAACTACTTTTCAGATCTGAAAGGATGAGATAGGGATATGGAAACTGACTCTCTGAGAGCAGGAATACATGATACATGTTTTTTATATTCTACTTTTTTCTTACCTTTATTTTCTATAATGACAGGTCTTGTTTTAGTAATTAGAAGAGGAAGTTAGCTTTTTAATACTGTCCTTTTTCTAAAGTTTACAATCTACCTATAAGGTCAATTAAAAGAAAGATTATTGTGAATTATGGGAGTTTTTATTTTTCAATGTTATGAACTGAAGTTTTCAGGAGTATTTTTCTTATGAATCTCTTGATTTTATTTTATAGATGCCCTATTTTAATCTTGTGAAGAGTTTAAAATCTACCTTTCCAAATGTGTATAGGATATCAAGGTAAGTTTATGATCCATATTCAACTACTAAAATTACTAATTGTTGTGCTAGTAAGTTTCTATTCCAAATTGTCCCGCAAATTTAATATGTTGGTTAAGCAAGTGCCATGCATCTGTTCTTTGTGATCTCTGCCTTTTCAAAAACCAGGAATATAATAGAATTTAAACTTAACCCAGAATCGCACTGAATGTAGTTTAGTCTTCCTTGAATTTTGTAGGTTTTCAAAGTGTTGGTTATAAAAATGAACTTTTGTCACACTGTTTAGAAAGAACAGAATTCTGTGTGTTTTCCTAAATCATGATGATTTTTTGGATTTATGCTTAATTTCTAGTAAGTATTTGGGCTTAATTTTTCATTGTCTAAGTCTACTACATGTATGAATATATATATGTGTGTGTCTATATTATTTTTATTTAAAAATGAGGTCATAAAATAGCACTCAGTCTTAACACTCTGTGCCTTTTGCTGGTCCCAGATTTCATCATACAACCCCAGTGGCATGCTGTTGCAGTAAAACATGGAGTGGTGAAAAATACATCGATCCTTTTAAACTTGGCTGGAGAGACTTGAAAGGTCTGTATGAGGATATTAGAAAGGTAAGATCTTTGATTATGCTGTCAAGTCATGTTGATTTTTAAAATATTGAAAAACCCATGCAAAAGACAATATACCAAAAGCAAGTGACCAATACAATAAGGAAAAGGAAGACACAGAGGTGCACAAGAGGTAAAGACAACAAAGATAAACACTTTTACATACACAATATTGCACTATCAGTATGCTCTTGTTGTTGTTGTTAGGTGCCATCAAGTCATCTCTGATTCATAGTGACCCTATGCATAGCAGGACAAGACACTGCCCGATCCTGTGCCAGCCTCACGATCCTTGCTATACCTGAGCCCATCATTTCAGTCACTGTGTCAGTCCATCTTGTGGAGGGCCTTCCCCTTCTTCGTTGACTCTCCACTTTACCAAACATGATATCCTTCTCCAGGGAATGGTTATCCTTCCTTTGGACAACATGACCAAAGTAGGTGAGATGAAGTCTGGCCATTCTTTCTTCCAGGAAGCATTCTAGCTACACCTCTTCCAGGACAGATTTGTTAGTCCTTTTAGCAGACCATGGTACTCTTAGCATTCTTCTCCAACACCACAACTCAAAAGCATCAACTCTTCTTCAGTCTTCCTTATTCATTGTCCAGCTCTCACATGCATAAGAGGCA